CGGTGCAATCATGTAGCCTTCTGAATGAAATTGAAAGATATTCTTTTTTATTTTATCGGTTTCCATTATATTCAGTACCTGCTGAATATTATAAAATTAGTCTACAAGAAAACAGCTTTATATATAAATATTTATTTTCCTATTTCAATGTTACTACAACTAATGTAGAAAATCGACTAGAATATTAAAGATTAGTGTTAATCACGTGGAACAAATTTTACTTTAATCTCATCTTTAGTTCTTAGAATAATGTCTACAACAGGGACAATAGATTGTGGAGTATCGACAGGTTCTAGGATAAATTTTGTCAAAATGGCACACAAAACAACCTTCATTTCCAAAATGGCAAATTTTTGTCCTATGCAATTTCGTGATCCCGCGCTGAAAGGATACGCGTAAGGATGTCTGTGTTGACAGTTCTCTGGCAAGAATCTGTCAGGATCGAATTTTTCGGAATCAGGATAAAGATCGGGATTTCGATGCATCGAGTAGATGTGCAAGGCTACTTGGGTACCTTTAGGAAGTAAATATCCACTCGTCGTTTGTAAATCTTCTCCTAAATTTCTAGTAATGAAAAAGACGCTAGGATACAACCGAAGACTCTCTTCAGTGCAACGCTCCAAATATTTTAAATTTTGCAGTTCGTTGTAAGTCAGTTTTTTATTTAAGTCTCCAAAAATTTCAACCAATTCGGAGTAGATGCGCTCCTAAAAACACATTTAAAAATGTTTCTAGTTAAAATAACTGCAATTTACTTGCACATCTTTATTATTGGCTAGAAGCATCAACATGAAACTTAGAGCCGTAGTTATCGTATCATGCCCTTCAAACATAAAAGTGTCAACTTCTTCTCTGATACCCTCGTTATCAATAATTCCTTCATTTTTCTTGGCCGATAGTAGGAGATCTAACATAGCTAACCTCCTTTTCCCCTTGTACACGTCATGTTCATCTTTCGGTAATTCAGCATAGACGAAGATTTTCTCTTTTTCCTCAATCACCGCGCTAGTAGAGTCGTGCAAAATTTTTACAGCCATACGTTCTTTAAAAAATGAGGAATTAAATAAAAGATTACCAATCTCTTCGAGACACCATGGATGTATGACTCTATAAGCAAGGATTTTGCCGATATCGTGAACCGCTTTTTTATAACCTTGATCTTTTTTATTTTTAAACTCGAGTTTGGTACCCATCGCTGTTTCTGTAAGCAACCAAGGCATAAGAACTACTTTTTAAAACTCTATACAATACCAGATATTGTTTTTAAGGTGAATTGTGTTAAAACAGAATTCACTTTGACGTAGGATTTGTTACATTCTTCATTCTTCAGTGTTTCTACGAGCTGTTCTGCTTGTTCGTTGAAAACCGAGACAAATTGCCGAAGAATACTGAAGTGGAAAACTGGTGTTAGAATTTTCCTTCTAGTTTGCCATTTCGTTCCAAAACTGGTTAAAAGCCCAAATCTTAACCATTTGTGAATTAGTTTGTACACAAATCCTTTTTCGTTGTGAATAGGATTAGAGAGTATCAACTACAGTGACAAAAAATACTCTAGACTGAAATTAAAAATGTATTTGTAGAAAATCAAAACAAAAATTTACCTCGCAATCATCTGGCGAGAGAACTGTAGTTATATGTATTGCATATACCGAGAAAATTGGATAAAATTCTTTTGCGGCTTTAATGACGTTTTGAAATACCGCTTCTAACATAAAAATCGAAGCTTTTATTATTATATGTATTTTTTCAATGTTTACCTGCAGTGGTTCCAAAGCCTGCTATATTCCCCATTATGGTGCCACCCCTGGGAGGTCCTGGTAACTTTTGCACAATTATGTAATTTTTGACATAAATGTATAATGCATATGTCTTATTTATAAGATAAAGTATTAAAGGTAATAAATTAAAGTGCAATAAAGAAACAGGCATTTTAAATATTCTACTGAAATATTACCAAAAAACTGAGTTGTTTGGAAATTAATTATTGTGTTAATTTGATAATTTCATGTTGGAAATCTGAGAAGACGTAATTTGCTAAAACAAGAAAAATTTTGATAAATGCATGTATGAAAACACTACCATTATAACATATTTTCCAACAAACCCAGTGCATATGAAAGTAAGTAAATCTACCGTCTGAAGTGAAAAACTATTCCGTTTTTTTATTATTTTATATCGGGTAATTTTTTAGATTTCTGCTCTAATTAGGTACTATGATGCTTACATCAGCAGTTTCAGTCTATCTACTGATAATCGTGATGGGTAACTAGAGCGGAAATGAAAACAAATCACCTGTTAAAGTTCCTTAATACATATACAATTTTACTTTAACGTCATCTTTACTTCTTGTAAATGTCCACTTGTAATCCTTACATCGTCTCCCAAGTATCCTGAAATGACGAAGACGCTAGGGCACAATCAAAGACTCTCTTTAATGCAGGGCTGTCCAAGAACTTAGACTAATTCGGAGTAGATCTATTGCTAAAATTTAACGTTGAAAAATTTCTTATAAATTTGTCTCAGTTTCATTTTACTTGCACATCTTTATTGATAGCTAGAATCATCAACATGAAACTTAAAGCCGCAGCCGTCGTATCGTGGCCGTCAAACATGAAAGTGTCGACTTCTTCCATTTTTGTTGGCCAAGAGTAGAAGGTCTAACATAGCTAATTTCTTTTTCCCTTGTACACGTCATGTTCTTCTTTGGTTAATTCAAAATCTACAAAATTCTTTTCTTTTCTTTCAATCACCTGTCGTTGTGCACCGGATTTCAAAGTACGAGCTGATAAAAAATTAAATTATTTGATTAAAGTGTAAAAAAATTGCTTCGCAATCTTCAGGCGAAAATGATAACGACTCCTGTTAGATGTAGGTACTCCATACAGTTTGAAGACTATTTTCATTTCTTCATTTTTCGTTTTGGGAATGTTATTTTTGTATTTTTATATGGTAGTACATTTTAAATATCATATTAGAAATAGTTTTCAGTAGATCCAGACTGTTCTTGAAAATTAAGATTACAGGAGTATTTTGTAATTTTTATTTCACAAAATTTTAAAATTTACTTTTAGAAATTTTATGCTTTTATGAAAATTCGTATACGTTTCGTTAAAAATCACAGATAAAGAAATACATCACACTTTAAAGTTCAAGGGGGATTTACCAGCAAATTTTGTGATGGCGTCAGCATTTTTTTGGTGGGAATGATTAGACAAATTTTGGTTAGAGCTTTACCGTCTATACCATATCCTTAGCAACAGTCAGTTCAGTAGTTTCGGACATAATCTGTTCGATCTAATAGCCAACAAAGAGAGACAAACGGTAAAACCTATTTTTTCAAATCGTACGAGCGCGAAAAAACACGAAATTGCAATATTTCATTAGCTTTTGTGCAATTTGTTTTTATTGATATCTTTCAGTGATTTATGAGTTATCGACACGTGTATAGGTGATTGATGTATTCTGTAATTACATTTTAAAGTTCTTCGTAGCTTGAGAGAAAAATGTAACTCTTAGTTCATGAAGTTGCAAAAATAAGTAATATCTAGTAATACGAATAAATTATATCTACAGAACATTAAAATTGGAGGTCTATTAAACAATTAGATAGAACAAATTGCAGAGACACGAAACACACAAGCTGTCAGATAATAATAATAATAATTCTGTTTAACTTATAGTAACTCGCAACAAAGCAATTAACTATTAACACGAATTTCGTCAGGGAGACTCCTCTGTCCTAATTTCTGTCCTGTCATATTTTCTGAATAACCCGCGTAACAGGGTCACTTCGGTGAATGTGTAATTTAAGGTTATCCCGACGTTTCGTAGTTCCTCGAATATGTAGAATCCTTGTTTGTTCATACCTTCCAAAATTTGAAGACGTTATCTCAAAAATTATGAACAAAAAAGACTCCATTATTCGAAGATTCAAGGTAACGATGCTAACTTTATAAAATTTCCACTTAAACTACTAAAACTAAGAATAAAATAATATTTGTATTAACTTAACACTGCGATGGACGATTTGGAAAATTAAAAAAAAAACAAAACACACCTGTCAGCAAAAAAGAGTAATTAAATTTTCTCACCGCTTTGTCAATTGCCAACACGTGTGTAAATTATTTTATTTGCATTCATTTTGTATTTGGTCAATTGTGTGGCAAGCTTTTTCTGACGTCAGCTCTTTTTTTTAATATTATGTTTTTTATGGAAATAGGTGGATGCTCATTATTTGAAAACAGAGAACGGGGGGAATTATTATTTCTCACCAAATTATTAAATTATCTCAACGTAACGTATTAATTTCTTTTAAACGCGATGCGCACCCTATTAGGTAACACACGTTGATCTAATCTGCAGTCTGTCGACAGATCCGAATACAATTTGGGAGCTGTTCTAGGCATTGTCTTCCGAAAGAGGAGGAGCTTCGAAAAAATGTGTTTAGTCGGAGTTAAACCTAGAATTTTAACGTATTAATTTTCTGTTTAACAAAGTATCCTGCGTAATTTAATTTCCTTTTCCATTGAGTACCGACTTGAGTTAATAAACAGGATCACGAACCTAGGTTTGATCTGAAATGAAACGATTTTCACAAAACCAAATCAAAAAACAAAAAACAAAAATTTGAGTACTAATTTCGCGTATGTCCAAAGTATCCAAATTATTTAAAGATGCCAGGTTATCATCGTGTGTATCTATTTTTAGTATTATTTTTAGTAATTTACTATTTCTCATAATTGTTTTGAATCAAGACTTTAGAAAATGGAAATGGATTATTTTGTAACACCAATTTGATGAGTTCTCGTTTCGTAGCTCCGTTGGTGTATAAAAAATTTGGCTGGATTTTTGTGCAATCAATGGCCATCTCAATGAAATTGAAACAAATATACTTTTTTACTTTATAGGTTTCCATTGAATTCAGTACCTGATGAATATTATAAAATAAGTTACAAGAAAACAGCTTTATATATATATAAATATTTATTTCCCCTTTTCAATTTTTCTACAACTAATGCAGAAAATTGACTAGGATATTAAAATTTACTATTAATAACGTGGAACAAATTTTACTTTAATCTCATCTTTAGTTCTGAGAATAATGTCGACAATAGGGACAATAGTTTGTGGAGTATCGATTGGTTCTAGGAAAAATTTTCTCAAAATTGCGCACAAAACAACTTTCATCTCCAAAATGGCAAATTTTTGTCCTATGCAATTTCGTGATCCCGCACTAAACGGTATATATGCGTAAGGATGTCTATGTTGACAATTCTCTGACAGGAATCTGTCAGGATCGAATTTTTCAGGATCAGGATAAAGATCGGGATTTCGATGCAGCGTATAGATGTACATGACTACCTGGGTGCCCTTGGGAAGTAAATATCCACTCGTCGTTTTTAAATCTTCTCCTAAATTTCTAGCAATGAAAAAGACGCTAGGATACAACCGAAGACTCTCTTTAATGCAACGCTCCAAATATTTTAAATTTTGCAGTTCGTTGTAAGTCGGTTTTTTAATTAAGTCTCCAAAAATTTCAACCAATTCGGAGTAGATGCGTTCCTAAAAACTGACATTTAAAAATGTTTCTAGTTAAAATGACTGCAATTTACTTGCACATCTTTATTATTGGCTAGTAGCATCAACATGAAACTTAGAGCTGTAGTTATCGTATCATGCCCTTCAAACATAAAAGTGTCAACTTCTTCTCTGATACCCTCGTTATCAATAATTCTTTCATTTTTTTTTGCCGATAGTAGGAGATCTAACATAGCTAACCTCCTTTTCCCCTTGTACACGTCATGTTCATCTTTCGGTAACTCAGCATCGACGAAGTTTTTCTCTTTTTCCTCAATCACCGCTTTAGTAAATTCGTGCAAAATTTTTACAGTCTTACGTTCTTTAAAAAATGAGGAATTGAATAAAAGATTACCAATCTCTTCGAAACACCATGGATGTATGACTCTATAAGCAAGGATTTTGCCGATATCGTGAACCGCTTTTTTATAACCTTGATCTTTTTTATTTTTAAACTCGAGTTTGGTACCCATCGCTGTTTCTGTAAGCAACCGACGAATAAGAACTACTTTTTAAAACTGTATACAATACCAGATATGGTTTTTAAGGTGAATTGTGTTAAAACAGAATTCACTTTGACGTAGGATTTGTTACATTCTTCACTCAGTGTTTCTACGAGCTGTTCTGCTTGTTCGTTGAAAACCGAGACAAACTGCTGAAGAATACTGAAGTGGAAAGCTGGTGTTAGAATTTTCCTTCTAGTTTGCCATTTCGTTCCAAAGCTGGTTAAAAGTCCAAATCTTAACCATTTGTGAGTTAGTTTGTAGAAAAATCCTTTTTCGTTGTGAATGGGATTAGAGAGTATCAACTACAATGATAAAAAATACTCTACACCGAAATTGGAAATGTATTTGAATAAAATCAAAACAAAAATTTACCTCGCAATCATCTGGCGAGAGAACGAAGACTGTAGTTATATGTACTGCATGTACCGAGAAAATTGGATAAAATTCTTTTGCGGCTTTAATGAGGTTTTGAAATACCGCTTCTAACATAAAAATCCAAGCTTTTATTATTTTATGTATTTTTTTCATATTTACCTGCAGTGTTTCCAAAGCCTGCTATATTCCCCATTATGATGCCACCCCTGGGAGGTCCTGGTAACCTTTGCACAATTATGTTGTTTTTGAGATAAATATATAATGCATATGTCTTATTTATAAGATAAAGTATTAAGAGTAATAAAATAAAGTGCGATAAAGAAATAGGCATTTTAAATTTTCTACTGAAATATTACCAAGAACTGAGTTGTTTGGAAATTAATTATTGTTTTGAAAAATAGATACACGTGTGTTTCCAAACTCAGCGCATATATGTGAATAAAAAATTTATAGTGCGTCAATTCAGCAATTCCGATGTTGACAAAAACGGTAAACAAGAAGAAATCTGTTGTGATATAAAAATTACTAAGAAAATAATTTTAATCTTACAGAGTGCAGGAAATTTATCTTTTTTTTTGAGTTCACAACCGCTCATTCTGCAACAAAAAACCAAAAAAAAAATTGAAAGTAAAAAGATGATAATAAATATATCTAGCTGTCATGTTGATGTGGTTGTAATATATTTTGGGTTGTTAGAAGATTGCACTTTTTTCACAATCAAATATTTTAATTGATAATAAAAGGTCAGTTTTTATCGCGATACCATATTTCTGCCTTCAATAATTGCATACAGTGGTGGTTTACTGCTAACAATAAGATAAATATTTCAAAAATGTCAGTATTAATTCTCGTGACAACGCAAAAGTCGGTGTTTGCGCTGTGATAATAATAATAAGCTTTTCGTGGGTCACGCGTGTTAATTTGATAATTTTATGGTGGAAATCTGAGAAGACGTAATTTGCTAAAACAAGAAAAATTTTGATAAATGCGTATACGAAAACACTACCATTATAACATATTTTCAAACAAACACAGTGAAAACCTATTCCGTTTTTTTTATGGTTTCATATCGGGTATTTTTTTAAATTTCTGCTCTAGTTAGGTACTAGTGATGCTTACGTCAGCAGTTTCAGTGTTTCTACTGATAACCGTCATGGGTAACTAGAGCAGAAATTTAAAAAAATTACCTGTTATTTTATAATCCAATACGGTGGACAAATTTTACTTTAGCGTCATCTTTACTTCTTAGAATAATGTCGATTATAGGGACACTGGACTGTGGTGTATCGAGCGGTTTTAACAAAAAATTACTCAGAATAGCGCAAAGAGCAGCTTTCATCTCAAGCACTGCAAATTTTTGTCCTATGCAATTTCGTGGTCCTGCACTAAATGATGCCTGTTTTGACAATTTTCAAGTAGAAATTTGTCAGGATCGAATTTTGCAGGATCAGGGTAAATATCGGGATTTCGATGTACCGCATAGATGTACATCACTACATGCGTGCCCTTGGGAAGTAGATCTCGACTTGTAATCCTTACATCGTCTCCCAAGTGTCTAGAAATGACGAAGACGCTGGTGTACAATAGAAGACTCTCTTTAATGCAGCGCTCCGTGTATTTTAAATTTTTCAGACCATTGTAGGTTGACTTTATATTTAGGTCGCCAAGAACGTCGACTAATTCGGAGTAGATGCATTGCTAAAATTTAACGTTGAAAAATTTCTTATAAACTTGTTTCAGTTTCAATGCAGATATTAAGTATTTTTAAAGTTAAATCTCCTATCACAGAAGATATCAACAAAAAACAAATCGCAAAATTTGTTATTTTGAAGCTAGCGAACTATTGCAATTTAAGTGCTTTTTCAAGCTCTTGCAATTTGAAGAAGTAGGTTTTACCGTTTGTCTCTCCGCTGTTGTCGATTAGATCGAACAGATTATGTCCGAAACCACTGGACTGACTGTTATTAAGGATATGGTGTAGACGGTAAGGCTCTAACCAAAATTTGTCTAATCGTTCCCACCAAAAAGATGCTGACGCCATTTCAAAACTTGCTGAGTAAATCTCCCTTGAGCGTTATAGTGTGATGTATTTCTTTATCTGTGATTTAATAATGTGTCCAGATTTTTAACGAAACGTATACGAGTTTTCATAAAAACAGAAAATTTCTAAAAGTAAATTTTAAAATTATGTAAAATAAAAATTACAAAATATTCCTGTAATCTTAATTTTCAAGAACAGTCTGGAGCTGCCGAAAACTACTTTTCATGTGATAATTAAAATGTACTACCACATAATAATACAAAAATAACATTCCCAAAACAAAAAATGAAGAAGTGAAAGTAGTTAAATTAAAATAAGGTTTTTGTGTGTTACAGATAATAATTAATTAGTTTGATAATTTTCAGATAGAAATAGCATAAATTGCAGAGATATGAAACACACGCGCTGCAGAAAAAATGGTGTATGACGAAACGGCAAAAATAAAATATAACCATAATTACTTGTATATAATTAAACACAATCAGTTACGACTCCTTGGTCTTGCGTAATAACAACAGAAAATTAACATATTAAATATTATCGCGACATTGTGCATATGATAACAATTGGAAAACGTAAATCGTTTGAAGGTCTTCACAGTTCACAGGTGGATATCGCACTCCATTTTGACAGTGTTTAACCTCCAAGAACCACCAGAATCCGCAGGGTTAAAGAAATCGTTGAGGGTTATCCAAGCCATTTGGTGGTTTCTGGACACATGCAGGTCATGTAAACGCGTGTGTAAATTATTGTATTCGCATTCATTTTATATTTGGTTTTCAATTGTGTCGTAAGGTTTTTCTCACATCAGCTCATTTTGCAATTCCATGCTTTTATTAGAAAAAGGCGGCTGCTCATTATTTGAAAACAGAGAAGGGGAGATTATTATTTCTCACTAAATTAATAATTCCCTATAGACTGATCTATTGAATCATACAGAATTTTACACGGTTATGCGTTGTCTAAGGATTATATTAAAACAAAGAAATCTGTTTTTTTGAAAATATACTATAATGAACAGATTACAGTAGCGTTTATCAAGCTTGCAAATCAAAGTTCAATCAACGAATGTCTACTTATTTATTATTATTCAAGTACACTTACTAACTTTAGCCAATCTAAATTGCACCATTTTTGTAACTAAGATTAACATTCCCACATAAATTTGCCTGCACCCCTTTTAGAGAACGAAGAAAAACTTTTTTGTACATTTCTTGCATTTCGTAGCTTAGGCAACTGGAATACAATATTCATTCTTCAACCACGTAGAACAAATTTTACTTTAATTTCGTCTTTACTTCTTAAAATAATATCAGGAATAAGTACAACCGATTGTAGAGTATCAATTGGGTGCAAGTAAAATTTGCTCAAAATAGCACAAAGCGCAACTTTCATCTCTAGTATGGCAAATTTTTGTCCTATACAGTTTCGTGGTCCTGCACTGAACGGTATATATGCATAGGGATGTCTGTTTTGACAATTTTCCGGAAGGAATCGGTCAGGATCGAACTTTTCAGGATCAGGATAAATATCAGGATTTCGATGAAGCCCATAGATATAAATGAAGACGTGAGTATCCTTCGGAAGCAAATGTCCAGTGGTAGTTATTACATCTTCTCCTAAATTTCGAGAAATGAAAAACACGCTGGGGTACAACCGAAGACTCTCTTTGATACAACGCTCCATATATTTAAAATGCTGCAATTGGTTGTACGTTGGTTTTTTATTCAAGTCTTCGAGAATTTCAACTATTTCGGCGTAAATGCGTTCCTAAAATTTGAGAACTAAAACTTAATACATATATTCTAATGAAACATTACTTGTATATCTTTGTTGTTGGCTAGAAGCATCAGTATGAAACTCAGTGCCGCAGTGGTTGTATCGTGACCTTCAAACATAAAAGTGTCGACTTCTTCTCTGATACCTTCGTCATCAATAATCCCTTCATTTATTTTCGCAGACAGTAGAAGATCTAACATGGCTAACCGTCGTTTTCCTTTGTACACTTCGTGTTCTCCTTTTGGTAACTCATCATCGACAAAATTTTTTTCTCTTTTATCAATCACCTCTTTAGTGAATCCATGTAAAATTTTCATGGCTTTACGTTCTCTCAAGTATGATGAGTTGAATAAAATATTACCAATCTCTTCAAAACACCATGGATGAAAAACTCTATAATAAAACATTCTACCGATATCATGAATCGCTTTTTTATAGGCTTGATCTTTTTTATTTTTAAATTCGAGTTTTGTACCCATCGCTGTTTCTGTAAGCAATCTTTGTAAAAATATAGTTGTCCTCAGAACTAACTGCAATACCAGATATTGTTTTCAGCGTGAACTGCGCTATCAAAGAATTCACTTCAACACACGATTTGTTACATTCCTCTTTCAGTATTTCTACGAGCTTTTCTGTCTGATTGTTGAAAACTGAAACAAATTGTTGAAGAAGACTGAAATGAAAAGCTGGTGTTAAAATTTTTCTTCGAGTTTGCCATTTCGTCCCTGAGCTAGTCAAAAGTCCAAATTTTAACCACTTGTGGAGTATTTTATAAATATATCCTTTTTCATTGTGGACGGAATTAGAGAGAATCATCTAATAAAGAAAAAAATCACCATTGTTAGCTACATACATTACTAAATAGAAATTTACTTCGCAGTCTTTCGGGGAAAACATAACGACTGCTGTTAAATGTATCGCACTAACTTTGAAAATCGGATAGAATTCTCTTACAGCTTGATGAAGGCGACGAAATATCACTTCTGAAATTGTAATTATAGTTTTTGAGTTTTATTTTATAATAATCACCATCAGTTGTCCCAAAGTATGGCAAGTTTCCGATTATGATTCCACTTTTAGGAGGTCCTGGTACCTTTTGTACGATTGCGTAATTCTTGAAATAAATGTATATAGCATGCAGCTTACTTAAAAGGTAGACTGCCACTGCTAGTAAAAAAGGGTACATTAGAAAAATCCACATTCTGATTTTCCTAAAAAATATTTCATAAATTTTTAACCGTAAAAGTAGCGTTTTATTACAACTTACAACTCTGCGTTTTCAAAGCAACTACAAATATCAGTTCGTAAAATAAATGAAAAATATTAGTGACTGACAAAATTCGTATACTTCGCAATTTATTTATAAAAAATGTATGTCATGAAGACATCAAGTTAGAAAGCGAACTGCCATATTAAATATTATCATCGTCAAATGCGAACAAGTTATGAAGGAAAACTAGTCTAAACTTGTCACTCAATGCAGCACAATACGTTTATTTAATGGTGACAATTATCGGTATTTATCCGATGACGTAAATCTAATTCTTTACAAATTAATATAAGTATGTTAAGTGGTACTCTGCAGGTAACTCTATCCAACAATATTTGTCAGAAATTTAAAAAATTGAACACTAAATGTAAATTTCTTACGAAGAATTCACTTTTAACGTGAGCTTTGTTACATTCTTCGGAACAAACTGTTGAAGAATATTGAAGTGAAAAGCTGGGGTTAATTTTTTTTTAATTTGCCATTTCGTTCCTGAACTAGGCAAAACTCCAAACTTTAACCATTCGTGGAAGAGTGTGTAAACATAACATTTTTCGTTGTGGATGGGATTAGAGAGAATCATCTAATAAAAATAAAACATAATCGTTAAATACCCCACTAACAAAAATTTACTTCACAGTCTTCCGGCGAAGCAATGAAGACTGCTGTTAAATGTTACGACCAAACTCTGAAAGCTGGATAAAATTCTTTTATGCCTTCAATCCAGAGCTGAAATGACACATCTGAAACAACAGTGGTGACTTGTAATTTTTACTTAAAAAGAATCACCTCAAGTATGCCTAGTTTTCACTATATTCCCATGTCGCTCTGATAACGTGTAAACTTTTTTACAAAATACATTTCTGTGCTGATTTTTTTTTTATTTAAGTAAATAAAAATGGACTTGTCCAGTATACAAAATTATATTTAAAATAAAAAATTTTACATTAAAAAGATTTTATAAATAAATGGTGCACAATGATAAATTATTGTTTATACTTGTCAGAAGGTCGTTTTTTTCACTGCAGTTGTTGTTTACACGAGGTTAATTATCATCACGAAACTATTTTAAACCAATATTTTTTTATAAATCTTGTTATATATGTAAAATACATAATCAACAGTTTATGTATAAAGAGTCATTAATGTTAATTGTCGTTTCAAAGTACTTATTCCTCAACCGGTATTTTTATAATAAACACTAACACATGTTTATTTTTATTCTTATCAAGAGTAAATATATCCGCATTCTTCTGAACACCAAGGTTAAATTTCAATAACTTCAATGCGTTTCTCCGAAAAAAAATTAATCTTTCCTTGTTCGTTCAAGCGAGTTTGTCGTCGGATAATTCATCTACAAAACATCAAAAGTTCCTTCAAGACGTAAACACAATGCTTTCATTAAATTTGCTTTTCTCGTATTACAAGATGTTTTTTTCATATTTTTTGTGACTCGTAAATTAACAGAGAAAAAAAAACAAAAGTATTTATTTTACAGCTTTGAAGTTGTTTATGTTGATTCAGTCAAGCAAACCTTCAACAAAATTCACCAGATGATACATTAATACTTTAATTTCGCGCGAAGTAGGCAAACTCGAATTAATTTAATAACCCGCAAAATCTGGCATTCCGCTTCTGTTATAAATACAAACGTATTTTCAGATCCCCGATTTATTTTTTATCAAAAAGAAAATCTCCATGAACGTTTAGTGTTCGGAGACAATGAAGCAGCGCAATATAATAATAAAAATTTGGGGTCTTGTTCTAACAAATCCAACTTCAGAAACTTCCCATGTAAACCCCCACAACCCCACAAACAAACAATTATTCCCGCAAATGATAACCCTCACAAATCCCATCGCTTCGCCCGACTTTCCTCACTTGTTCCGAACTTTATCTCCTCCGGTCAATCAAAAACTTTCCAGATAGCTCAACATAAATCAGTCTGTATTTTTCCAAACTTTGCCCAACAAATCCCATTCTACGTGACGTCGTGGCTTCCATCGCCCTAGAAAAAAAAACGAAAACACTTTAATTACCAGCCCGAAGAGACGCGCAACTGAATTTTAAACAACAAACAACAATTAATTCTTAATAACGAAACAAACGGGGGCTTTTTGCGTCTGCTACTTAAAAGTCTCATTAATTCTTTTTTATGCCGAAGCTCCCTGAAAACTCCTGAGCTTCATTTCAGCGAACCCATAAAAGCTGGTCTGCTTCGACTCAAACCGCAAGTAGCTTTTCTCGGGGGATCGCCTCTTCATCTTCACAAAGACGGTATATAATTCTATTTATTAGGAGCTTGAATACGTGACGAACGTCGGTGGAAGCTCGGTCGAGTTTGCGGGGAAAATGGGCCCAGCAAACACTGTAGCATGTGTCCGCTTAATTTTTTCGTAATAATAACAAAGATAAAAAAACAAAGTAACAAAAATATTTTTTACAATTTTTCAAGCAGCTCATTGATTGATGACTGGTGCTGTTTAAAAGAAGCAACTAATTTCTTGGAAGTTTTGTAATATTTCCCGGCGCATCCACCATTTTTGAAATTGATTAATTAATGAACGGAAACGCGGTACGCAAACAGTGTCAGTGTTACATTGTTTTCGTATTGATCTTGTAGCACATTCATTAGGCGAGTTGACATGTACTAATTTTGTTCGTAAATTAGAATGTGGAAAATATCGCCGACTAATTAGAAACTCGAAACTAAAAATTGATTTTCGGCTTTTCGCGATTTATTGCTGTTGGTAATATTTGAATTGAAATAGTTGGGTTATTTGTGAGGCAAGCACGTTGGTTAACGAAGAGAAATTCAGCTAATTTTTTTTTCTGTCGCTCAGGCTTTCGCCCTGACAAGAAATATGAAGCGTGTGTGTTATATGCATCCTAAGGGCTTTGTATGACATCTCGTTTCACCTCTGTGCTTTAGCTTCCACTTCCTTTGCTGTTCGACTTTTGTGACGAATATATAAAATTTACATTTTTAGAGGATGTGAGAGGGAATTAAGCGGAAGGTAAAGCTGGTGTCTTAAATTTTCGACACGATAAAAGCAAACAGAGAGGTAGGCAAACAGACGCGACAGATTCGTATAAGAAAACAAGGTTCTCTTGTTTCTTGATTTTTCGCTTGAAAGATGACACTCGTGGATTTTTGTGTTGATGGCATTTTCTCTTAACCGATCTAATGGCTATACTCCGTTTACCGAACAGATGGACTTGTAAAAGTGCCTTGTCTGCAGGTGACTTTTCAAAACCCTAACGTCCCAGTGAAGTTTCTTTGTACGTTCAAGTTTGATGACACTAACTTTGCAGGCACGTAAAGCGCACGTGATTACTCCATCTATTCGGAAAGTGAACTATAGATTTAATTTGTCATTTAGGGCACTGAGTCTCATTTCAAATAAACTAAAATTCAGGATTGATAATAAGTACTTTTTTCTTAATGCCCACTCAAATTCCTGTCTAGGCTACAGTAGCCTACAGACAAACTTTGATTTTTAATATGATGAAATTTTATCCTACACCATTTCTCGATGTTGCATTAAAAACAAATAAGCATAAGAATAGCTGTTATAGATGCTTTGGGTCAGGACTGAATTTTTCAGGATCAACACAAATGTCAGGATTCCGATTAATGTTGTACATGTGTATAGTAACATGCGTGTTATCGGAAAGTAAATATCCGCTTGTAGTAGTTGTTCAACCTTGACCTAAATTTCTAGTTATAAAATATACAGAAGGTTATAATCACAAAGTTTAATGAAACGCTCCACATTTTTCAAAATTTCTAGAGCCTTATATGTTGGTAATTCAGATCTACATGAATTCCAGTCACTTCGACCAATCTTAAATCAAAATGTTTTCTAATCTGTACAAAGCCATTTTTTTCTTACACTAAAAATAATTTTAACACTAAATGAAAATAGAAATGAAACAAAAATTAACGACGCTGGCCGCTATTTAAATCTATACGATCCTCTCGATGGATCGAGAACGCCGCTTCGAGGGTTTTCTGGGCCCGCAATCGAGACTTCCGGTAACCCGCTCCAGACTTGTGAAACGCGGCCCAACTACCGTCACCGATGATGACTCACCCATCAACGGCGTGCGTACTAAAAAGCTCGAGAACCCATAGGCGTAGTACCGGGGCGACGTATGGGTTTATTTCGTAACAGTGTATAAAGAATATCATGTAGATGGTAAAACGCTAACCAAAAGTTGACTAATAATCCCCACCACCAATTTACTTATAAAATAAGTTAATACAAACTACAATAAAAAGCTTGAAAAGTAAAATTCAGAAGTTTTTTATAACGAATTTGGAAAATATACACAATCTTCTACTTTTTTACTTCCTGAGCGTAAGCTAAGGAAGTATTGCAATCGAGTCCATTGGCCGAATTGCCATTTCCATATTTTCTCGATGTATTATGACTTCTAGAGTACGAAAAAAGTAGTGTTTCGTTCCGTCTGTCTGTCTGTCTGTCTGTTGTCTGTATCCATCGTTATTAGACAAGTAACCTCCGAAACTACTGGGCCGATTGTTGTCAAATTTTGTACATATATTAGGAATTCCATGTAGATGGTAACTAAAATTTGGATAATCATCCCCATCACCAATGGGATGAAAGTTTTTGAAATTTTATAAAAGAAGATACTCCTGCACTTGTGGTGTGTGAACCCGTGTCGAATTTTCACCCCAGAAATCCAGAATTTTTGGAAAAAATTCAAAACTAAATAACAATATTTTGTAATATAACTTTGAAACTGCAAAACCGAATGCTCTGAAACCTTGTAAATATTTTAAAGATATCGTAATCATGGTAAAATGCAAAAAAAATATGAGGTCATTTCAAAATTATGCCTAGTAAATCCTCATTGCATTAAAAGTTTTAAATTTTTTATATAGTGATTCAGAAAAATTAATTAAAAATTAATTAAAAGGTCAATTTATTTTAGTGATTAAATCAGGAACGGCCCACTTAGTTTTCCCGAAAATTTTGGAGTACAATACAGTTATCATTAGTATTGCGCCTAGACCTATCCAAAGTGATATATGTTTTAGCAAAAATGTTGATGACGCCATCACAGGCCG